TCCAATTTTATTTTTGTCATTAACCTAGAGCAAGGGCTGGTAAGATTTTCCTGTGAAGAGCCAGAGTGAATATTCCAAGCCTTCACAGACCACACAGTCTCTCTACTGCACACTCTGTCTCTCCAGGGCAAAAGCAGCCACAGACAATCCACAGACATGTTTGTGGCTGCATTCCAGTAAGACTTCATTTACAAATGCAGACAGCGGGCCTTTTAGTCCACAGGCAGTAGTTCACTGACCCCTATCCTGCATTTCAAGCAAAATTCATTATGCGTGAGCTACAAAAGAAAATTCTGCCTTTGTTAAGCTGAGTGTTTAAACAAGTCATTCAGTCATGTGTGGGTGAATTTTCTTCACCCTTGTGGAAAATTGAGTAGGATGAGATGACCACATCTCTTCTAAATGGTAGCTTTAACTGGGCGTGGTGGCGTGGGAGGTTGAGACAGGAAGATCGCTGTGAGTTCAAGGGCAGAATGGGCTACATAGGTAAGTTCAAGGCCAGCCTGAACTACATAGCAAGACCCTGTCTGAAAAAAAGTAAATAAATAAACAAATAAACAGCAACTTTGATAACTCTTAGGTAAAATCTTGCTGACTCCCTGATCTGTTACCCTTATCCAGGAAAAGCTTTGGCTTAGTGGTGCTGGTAGCCCAGGTGCTTCCCAGAGAAACCGACAAATGCAGGGTGGTTCTTGTGGCCTGTACGTAGCTTGTCAAAGAGTTTCTCACTAGCAGTAGCCTGCTGGTCTGAACACAGCCCTCACAGGTCTTCAAGACAGCATGAAGGTATGGAACTCTAGTTAAAAAGTAGCAGCTACAGCACGTCTGTTGTTTCAGGAGGCTGGACCTGTGTGACGGTGTGGACTGCATTCTAACGTCTCTTCTTTACTTGCAGGAAACAGTTTTGTGTCCAGTATCCTCACATAAAGATAAGGCTACTATATGCAATGGATCCTGAGACCAACTGGTCCTTCTACAGCATGACAGGAAGAGGCCAACCCTAATCTTAATTATGGAAAGTCAAGTTTATTTTCTTCCTTTCCCTATTTGTATTTCTTGTTTTTCTATAATGATCCCTTATTTTAATTCTTTATTATCATTAGGGATGAACTGGAGATCAACAGCTGAAAATAAACTACATTAAAAGAGACAGCCTGGGACGGTGGCTCACGGCCTGCTGCTGAAGCGCACCCTGCCCCACACATCATTACTTTTAATGATGCTAAGTGGCCCAGCTGCTACACGCATGTGCTACAGTAAAAATTACCGGGAGGCCTAAAGTCTGTTTTTCACTGGATATATCAGAAAACAATTTTAAAGAAATAACAGCTTTATTGAGGTTGAATTCTGGTCCACCCATTTAAAAGGCATAACTTGACATGTAGTAGCACATGTCTAGAATCAAAGTGACTCAGGAGCCTGAGACAGAAGGACTGCGTGTTCAAAGCCAGCCTGGGCAACTCAGAAAGGCCCTGTCTCAAAATTTAAAAAATGAAAAGAGCAGGAGGTGTAATTCAGTGATTGAATGCTAATAGGTTCAATCCCCAGTTCTACACACACACACACACACACACACACACACACAATTAATTCAGTGAGTTTTTATTTAGTGTATATGCAGAGTTGTAAGACCATTACACAATCGAGAACACTGTCACCAACTCAACAGGAAAACTTATGTCAAAAAAGAAAAGAAAAGAAAAGAAAACCTATGTCCAGGACTAATTTTTTTTTACATGCATATATCTAGTAATATGAATAACTGGTTCGAAGACAAGGTTATATATTACAACAAATATTGTGAAATTCATATAATGCTGTTAAGTGAAATTCTGTATCACTTGTAATTTTTTGTTTTAATTCTAATTTGTACTCTCTTTACAAAATAAAAAACATTAAAAAAGAAAACATGTCCGTAGAACTCACTCTTCACTTATCTCTTCCCTCACCCTAAAATAATCTACCTTCTTTCCATTGATTTCTCTATTCTAGGTATTTCCTGTAAGTGGAATCAAACAACATATAGGCTTTTTTTTTTTTTTAATGACTATCTCCTTCAATTTGGCATAGTATTTTCAAGAGTCATTCATGCCATATCATATATCAGTACTTGGTTCTCTGTATGGCTAAAAAAACAACCTATTGTACAAATAGACCACATTTTGTTTATCTATTCATCATCTGATGGACATCGGGGTTGCTTCCACTTCTCTCATGAATAATGCTCCTGTGAACATTCATGTATTATTTACTGTGTAGACGTGTTTTCATTTCTAGGAATGGATACAAAAGGATGGGTTTCCTGGGTCATATAGTATCTCTACAGTTAAGTGTCAGACTCTTCAAATGGGGCAGCAGCATTAGACATTCCCACTGGCTCTGGATAAGGGTTCTACTATCTTCACCAATACCTGGTATTTTCTTTTTTATTTAAAATATAGCCAGGGCCGGGGAGATTGCTCAGTAGAATAAACACTTCCCTGGCAAGTGCAAGGGCCTGAATTCAATCCCTGGTTCCGAAAAAAAAAAAGTTAAAATTATAGCCATTCTGGGGTTATGAAACAGCATTTCACTATGGTTTTAATTTTCACTTCTACCCTCAGGGTGAGTAGGCTGCATACAATATAAAAAAGGGAGCAAAGCAGGGCTGAGAGAAGTCATGGGAGCTATAATCACCAGAAGAGTCATAGAGGTAGTGTAGGGGGCGATAGAACGCTCCTGTTATATTTTCCCTTATTTGGGCAAGAAGTGCTGCAGCACCAATCCCCCGCTTGCCTCGGCATCTTCCTGTGGTCCTGGATCTCCACTACCAATCCACAACTAGTCCCACCCAACTGCTTCCACTATACAGCTATTTAGACCCCGCTCACTTCCTCAATAAACGAGACTTGATCAGAAAGCCTGTCTTGTCTCCATCTCTCGTGTCTCTTGCCCTGTCTTTTTCATCCCCGTTCCTCCTCCAGGTCATTACCCACGTCTCGACTCGCGGGCCGAGTCAGGTAGAGCCACATGGAACTCAGAATTTGCCACAGAATGCCTTGGATGTTGAATATGGAATTCCAGGATTTTTTGTTTGTCTTACTGGACTTTTTTTTTTTTTTTTTTGCGGTACCGGGGATTGAATTCAGGACCCTGTGCTTGCCAGGCAAGTGCTTACTCTACTAAGCTATCTCCCTGGCCTTCTTACTGCACTTTGGACTTGCTTTGTCCCAATACTTTGTATCCCCATTTGTACCTTTTGGAGTAGCAATGTTTATCTTGTGCCACTGAATGTTAAAAGTGTTTTAACTTTTCATTTGTACAGGGGCTCACAGCTAAGAATTTGCCTTACGTCTCAGAGGATACTTGGGACTTGGGCTTTTCAGCAATGCTGAAACTGTTAGGACTTTGGCAACTCTTAAAGATGGACTAAATGCCTTTTGTACAAAGAGATGTGCTTGAGTGTTTAGGAGGTCAGGGGCAGAATGTTACAATCTGTGTCTTGATGTCCCCCCCAAAGCCTGATGCAGTCATGGGGTGGCTTCTAGAGTTTGTGATTCCCCCATAGTCCAATGCTGGGGTTACAGGTGTGAGCGCTACACCCACCCTGGGGCTGGCAGTCTGCATACCATATAAAGGAGCAAAAGAAGCCTGCTTTCTAATGTGCGTCTCCCTTTTTGCTCTTGCTGCTTTTGCTGTCTTCTGTAGCCATGCTGCCCTCTGCCATGTGCCGCTCAGCCTTGGAGCCAGCTGAGTACGGACTGAAACCTCCACAAACTGTGCGCTAAATAAACCTTTCCTTCCTTAATTCTGGGCATCACGTATTTTGTGTCAGCAATGATAGAAAAGTCACTAAGACGAGAGGGTACAGCACTGGACTCTCATTTCTATCCCACTAATTGTACACACCTGTCCATCTGTCAGTACTACATTGTCTTAACTAAGGCAACTCTGTAGTATGTTTTGAAATTGGGAAGTGTGAGTTCTCCAAATTTTTTCTTTTTGCTTTGGACATTCTGGAGTCCTTGACTTTTCATATAAATTTTAGGGCTACTTTGTCAATTTCTGCAAAAAGATAGCTGCGATCTTGACAGAGACCGGACTAAACTTATAGATCAGTTTGAGGAGGACTACCATCTTAAAAACGTTAAGCTGGTCCAACCCATGCACATGGATTATATTTCCATGAAATCAGGTCTTTTTTATTTATTTAAACAATGGCCCATAGTTTTTAGAGTATTAACTCTGCACAGGAGCCTTTTGCAAGCTCTGTGACTGACTCAAAGGAGGCACCATGGGCCAATCGTGGTAGCTGATGACGTGGACACATGGAGAAGAGCAGGTGCAGGGGCGGCTCTCACCCGACGAGGCTCCTGGGACAGGGTCTGTGGGGCAGGTTTTATCCCCAGGGAGACCCAGAGCAGCAGCTCTGTGGAAAGCCACTGACTACATGACACAAAGCTTCACCAAAGTTTTGTGTTTTATTTCTAGTTATCACTTATTTAGGTTCTACCTTGTTTTAGAAAAAAAATTAAGCAAACTAGCAAGAAACTGGAGGAGGAAAAACAGCCAAACAAAGGTGAAGACCGAATGGAACCAGGAATGGGACTCAAGTGTAGACTGAGCTACGCGTTCCACACGCATTTGGCAATAGGATCAGTACCCCAAGGTGGCCAGGAATGCAAATGTTCTTTGTGTGTGTGTGTGTGTGTGTGTGTGTGTGTGTGTGTGTGTGTGAAACCAGGGATTGAACTCAGGCCCTTGTGCTTGCCAGGGAAGTGCTTATTCCACTGAGCCATCTCCCTGGCTCCCACAAATGTTCTTGTTAAAGATACAAATAAAAGTAAAGTCTCAGGAATCAAAGCGTGTTCAGACTATGAGACCACAGGAGCCCTGTGGCAGCTCCTACATGAAAAGACACTGTTCTTCTAGTTTGTTCCTCCATAAGGCAACGCATCTGTGCAAGGGGCACATCCACGCCTGCCCTCTGCCTCCCCCGTCCGCACTGGCTGTCCCTGTACCTGAATCTGTTGGTGGCCGGGGTGGTCTCCGTGTTAAATTCGGCCACTGGCACCCCCCTGGCCGCTACCTCGGGGGCAAACATTGCAGCTGGGTAGACCACAGAGGAAGTCCCCACCTACAAGGCAAGCACAGGGAAATGCACAACAACTGCTCTGTGGGGAGCAGAGCCACTTCTCACTGTTCCTACATGGTACAGTTATGGATGGTTCCTAATTTACTTTTGATGATTTGCAATTTTTATATTCATCAATGAAATTTAATGATGAGCATGTATTATATATAAAGGATTTTTTGTGAGTGAGAGGATTTTAAGATACTTAAGAAATAGTCTTGCGTAGTTTCATATCCTAAGAGCACCTTGTACCAGTTTCTTAGTTTTTCTGTGGGTGCCAGAATACCTTTCTACACACATCCTCAAAAACAGAGGGAGAAAGGGTAGAAAAAGAAAGAAGGAGGAGTGGGAGGGGAAGAGGAGGAGAAAGGGAGACACCCATAACAGGCTGCTCCTGCATTCAGAGTCAGGAAAATATGGGACACTGTCGGGGGGCACCTACCACCAGACACAAGTCGCAGAGCTCCAGCTCTCTGGAAGCCTCCTCCAAAATGGCAGGATCCAGGTTTTCTCCAAACCACACCACGTGGGGTCGCACCAGGCCCCTGCACCCTGCCACCTCGCACCTGGAGGGATGGGATTGTTAAACTGCCTTGGCCAGGTCACAGGAGGCCTGGGAGAAGGAGAGGGGCCACTCCAATGCCAGGCCACCGAGAGTCACCTCTGACCTTCCTAATGCCCCAACCCCGACGACCCTAACACAAGTGCTGAGTCTGCCTGTCCTCTCCTGGCCTGGCCTGGCCTGGCCATGTGGGCCTCCGTGCCCCGCGTGCTGGTGTAGTTTCAGCGGAGTCTGAACAGCTGTTGCTTTTCCAACACTTCGTTACCCGCCTGGACTCAGCACTGCTACGCTCATGCCCAGACCCGGTGGCGTCACCTGGGCGCAGTTGCCTCTGAGTCCTGCACCCTCCCCTCACTGCCTCGGAGGCTGCCTTCCCCAAGCCCTCAAGCCACTGCTCTCTGGAGACTCGCCTGCTTCATCCTACCTCCAGGTCTCCTTTATAACTGTGGTTTCCAAACTCATCTCCTCACAGGCCATTTTTTAAAATTTCATTTTATTGAAAAACAAATAGCGATGAGACAGTTTCAAAACTGATTAATAGGACAGTTTCAGTAATTAATACATTGTACATTGTTATCTTCTTAGTGGTTATGCATAGTACAAGATGCAGACAGGATATCCTGTCCAAACACTATTAGTACCAAAGGCCATTTTTATCGCTCACTTCCCACTCAGGAAACCCCTGGAGCACCTATTCTCTCAATTGGAATTGCAGAATTTAGTAATAAAACGCTTATAAGAGAAAAAAAGTACTTGTTGGTTAAAATAATATAAATATTAACATTATAATCCACATTTCAGAAAGTCATATACTTTAGCATTGTGCCTAGGTTATTTTTTTTTTTTTCTTTTCAGTTTTGGTGGTACTAGAGATTGAACCCAGGGCCTTTGCACTGCACCACCTTCCCAGCTTTTCTGCGCGTGTGTGTGGAGACAGAGTCTCTCTATGCAGTTATACAGAGTCTTGCTAATTTTCTATGTTGTCCAGGCTGGGCTTGAACTTGGGATCTTTCTGCCTCAGTTTCCCACAGTTCCTGGTATACAGGTGTGTGCCACCATGCCTGGCATCAACTTGGCTATATTAAAAGAGTGCTGAGAGATGACTGGCTTGTGGGGGCTCTGTGCTCATCAATAGATTAACCCCTCATGTTTACAGCTAAAGGAGCCATTTGGAGGTGGGGCTCTGGTGGAGGGGAGGGCCAAGTGGAAGTGGGTCACTGGCAGCGTGTGGGAGGCAGGTCTGGAGCTGGGGCCTTCCAGAATTATAGGCATGAGCCACCATGTCTAGTTCAGAAGCACTGTTTCAATATCTAGTTTTAAAAACCTAATGTAAAAATTCTTCTAGTTTTTAAAAAATATCTACAAAAATTCTGTTTGGTCCCTTGTATGACATTTACTATTTCCCTGGAGAAAGTGAAAAAGGAGAAAAAAGAGGAAAACAGGAGCTAACACTTCCCAGCTAACTGCAAGAAACCTGCCTCTGTGCCTCTGAGCACATCACAGCCCCAAGAACCTTCCAGACCTAGAACTATCTTCTAGAACACAACCAAAATGGGACTGAAGCTGGTGTCATCAGGTGTACTACCAGTTCCACTTGTGTGGGAGCTCAGCAGGAGGATCACTTGAGCCTGGGAGCTCGTGACCAGCCGAGCCAAAACAGGGAGGCTAGTCTCTTCAAGGGGTGCTGGAAAGATGAACACTCGGTTCTTCTTTTGTCCTCTTGCCCTTGGCCTCCTAAGTCAGAGCTGGCTTCTGCACTTGTGCATTTATGCGCTTAAATCAAGCGGTATCACACACCGATAAATGTTTACATTTTGAACCCTAATTTTCCTGTTTTGCAATCTGGAACACCAATTTTATTTATTTTTTTTTTAACTCACCGGGGAAGGTCTTCAAGTGGGATTTTGGTGTCTTCAGCTTCAGGTTCAGGAGCACTGAAGTACAAAATATCAGAAAAGAGTAAAATGTCATTGGTATAATCAAAGGACAAAGAAATGGCAGAACTTGTAACACTGACAGAACACTCCTAACTAGCGAGTGCTAACTCTGAAGGGTACTGGAAGGATAGAGTCCAAATAATGAGCAGTGGTTTTACTTTAAGAGAGTACGCTGGTGAGCGTACAAGAGAGATTATAATTTGCAATTCTTCCTTATGTCATTCTGAACTTGCCAACATTTCTATGATGAGTATGCACCATTCTTATAATTCACACAAATAAAGAGTAGACTCAAACTATTGGGAGAAGATCTCCTGGACCACTTTGGAGCCGTAAATTATGTAGGTGTTGTGTGGTATTCCGTCCTCAGAAGATTCCATTGATGTAGGGTGCTAAGTCATCATGCGATCCCCGTAGCTCACCTGATCATGCAGTCATCCCCCCTATAATTGCAAATTATAATCTCTCCATTTCTATAACACTATTAACTTTTTAAATGTTTTCTTTTGGTATATAAACTAATATGATAGATAAACATGGAGTGTGTACAGTACATGTGTTTAAATCAATAGCTGGGAGAATCATATAGTTTGGCATTTCTTTTACCTTACATCTGAACTGTGTCTGCTCTTATTTCTTATAAATATTCCTGGGGACCTTCAATAAGCATTCCGTTTTCTACAGTCTGTTCAACTTAAAGAAGAAAGCAACATGCATTTGTTTTGTAGTGCAGTAATAATTACCCTTTTCCTGATAATGCTGGACAAATGGGGTTCTTGTAATTCTTAACCACAGATCCACAAGAAGTACACCGAGTTTTAAATATGGTGCCTGAAAAACACACAGGGAGCAGGTCCAGAATTCAGTACAGGCGAGCAGCACAATTTGTAATAGCTAAATCTTGGAAACAACCCAAATGCCCATCAACTAAGGGATAAATAAAAGAGATGTGCTCTTTTTATACAACGGAGTATTACTGAGCTATGAAGAAAGATAAACTTGAGATTTTTATAGATATTGAAATTTTTATAGATGCAACTGGAGACCATAGCCATAAGTGAAATAAATCAAACTCACATGCGTAAACATTGTGTAAGAAATTGAAAAAGTAAATAAGATCCAAATTGTACAATCAATATGAAATGAAAGAAACTGTTCAAAAGGAAAGAGAAACTACAATGGAGGAAAGGAGAAAAGAAGGAAGGGAAAAGGTAAAAATATGTAAATGTATAAGACAATATAGTCATACTACTAAATTCTATTAATTCATTGAAAAGAAAGGTTCATGCTTATAATGCTTGATCCATTTGTCATGCCTATAGTTTATCATCTAAGCAAATACAAGATAACAATACACAATGAATTAACCATTGTCACTCTATTATCTTGTTTTGAAATTTGTATCATTGTTTCTATTGTTTTTTTCTCTTTAAAATAAAAAATAAAAATAAAAAAGAGAAGGGCTTTTGGGGAGTAGTGCGCCGCTTTCCTTACCTGATGGCTCTGAGCCTGGGCAAGGCCAGGCAGCCTCTCCGAGCATGTGCACAAACCCACACCCGCAAAGGCCGTGCATGCGCACAAACCCACACCCGCAAAGGCCGTGCATGCAGGAAAGTGCAAGCCTCTTGGCGCCACCACCCGCCTGGCTGGCTGGCCCCAGTGTTGCAGCCTGGCTCTCCTCACCGTGGATCTCCAACAGGTTCTTGGTGCCAGCCCTGCGGTGCAGCTCGTCGATGTTCTGGGTGATGACCACGACCCGGCGACCCTGCCTGCTCAGCCGGGCCTCACACTCGGCGATGGCGCGGTGCCCAGGGTTGGGTTCCTTGGTCAGGATGACGTCGCGCCGGTAGTGGTAGAACTCCCACACCCTCGAGGGGTTGCGGGCAAAGGCCTCGGGGGTGGCCAGTTCCTGTGGGGACGGGAAGGTGGGATTAGGGAGGCAAAGGGCCTGGGATGTGGCAGCATCAGGTCCCCAGAGTGGGCCAGGACTAAGGGATGGAGAAGTGGGTCTTCATTACCTCCTGACACAGGCCAGGTAAGCCCTAAAGCAAGATATGCACAGGGTAAAGCAGCGTGTGGGGCGGGGCAGTCTCTTTCTCACGGAGTCCCCAAACACATGAAGACAATCTCATTTCATTTCATTTTATTTATTTATTTATTATTTATTTATTTATTTATTTATTTTCGCAGAACTAGAGATTGAAGTCAGACCCTTGCACTTGCCAGGGAAGCGCTTATTCCACTGAGCCATCTCCCTGGCCTGACAATCTCATTTTGAGGTAACTAGGAAAAACACTGTGATATGCAAGATGCCCCAGGGAGGGCCCAGGGTCACAACTGCGAGCCTGAGGTTTTATGACCCCATCCATGATGTTCACACCACTACACATTCACATGTGTGTCACAACCACACACACATACTATGTCTACATAAAACTGTATATAACTATACAACTACACAGAGGACACACACACTACACATATACACAACCACATGCAATAGCATACATATACATAACTAACCATGCACACATATAAAAAACACTGCACTTATAAACAGAATATAGAAAATGTCTGTGTTTTAAAGTTTGGGTCTTCTAGCAGAGAGGGAACAGGACAGCTCTTTGGAGCCGGCCATCGATGGGAAGGACATAAGGAACCGCTACAAGGAATAGAAGTGTTTCACATCTGGCTTACAGAGGTGGTGACATGAATACTGGTGTATCCACCATACAAACTCAGCACACTCTATGGACATATCCATACATGCGTGTTATTCTGTGTAAATTCTGCCGTGGGAGAAGCGTGGTTCCTGTCGGGACGCGTGTCCAGTTCCCTGGGGACATGGGGTGTGCAAGGCCCTTGCCTAGCAGTGACATCAGCCCTCCGTTTACTGTCTCATGTGCAGTGGTGACCTGCACCTGCGCCCTCCCCTCCTGCTCAGGGCTGTGAACAACAGCTTGTGCTCTCTGCACACGTACTCACAGGTCCTATCTGGGGGGCATCGGATGCCTTCTGCTGACCTCTTTGCCAACAAACTAGGAGCTGCGGGACACTGCTGCCCCCACACCCAGGCCCTGCCAGCCCTACTGTTGCTCTCCAGGGACCTTCTGCTGGACTCTTTCTGTGGCTCCTACTGGCCCTCTGTTCTTGTCTCCCCTCTCCACTTTCAGGGGAGGATAGACAACCTGGGGAGCGGCAGCCCATCCCCGGCATCTGCCAGCTCAAACACTTAATGGAAGAGAGGCAGGCTCGCGTGCCGGCCCTCTGTGCAGTACTGCTCATCCTAAGGAGGAGGCAGGTGTTGGCTGTAGTAACTTGTGACTGCCCTCAGTCACCCAATGCAGTCTACCAAGCTGCTACAGTGTCCGGGTTCCGGGAGCTGGGGATGGCATAATGGGCAAAACAGACAAAATTCTGTGCTCTCCAGAACAGGATTTTCCAGACCACAGGGACAGGAGGGGATGGAGGTGACAGACCAAGATGGATGATTTCTGGAGGGACAGAAATAATCTTAGCTGGAGGTGTAGCTCAGTGGCAGACTGCCTGCCCAGCATGTGCGAGCCTCGGGCTGTATCCTAGCACTACAAAAAGAAGGAAAAGAGAAACAGCCCATACTGCAGTCATATGGTTTCTACACAAGTGTATCTATTTCCTAAAACTCACTAAATTGTACAATGAAAATTGGTGAATTTTACTATATATATATAGCTCAAAAACTGAATGTAAGCCAGGTGTGTTGGCACATACCTATAATCTCAGCACTGTAGGGTTGGGGGCTAAGACAGGAGGATTGCAGGTTCAAATCCAGCCTGGGCAACTTAGCAACACAGTGAGACCCTATCTCAAGATAAAAAATTAAACAGGGTGGGTATGTTGCTCACTGTGGTACTCTATCCTAAACACCACACAAAAAAACTGAATTTAAAAAAACAAACAGTGCTTACACCTATTTAGATTCATTTAACATCCTTCATATAAGTGACTGCCAAGCCCTAAGCCAGGACAATTTAGTTTCACTTTTAGTGTAAACACTTCGCAGAAACTTTGAAAATACATAATATTTAATTTCAATTACTCTTAGAAAAATAATGAATTGTGGGGGGCCTGGCCCTAGCTCAGTCCTTTCAGTGGCTGCTTCCACAAAGCTGTCAGCCTCAGGTTGCTGGAGTTCGAACCTCACAACTCTCCCGCTGGCCAAAAGCACCCTGAAGGCATTCGAGGAACAAAAAAAACCAAACCAAAACAAAAACAAACAAACAAACAAACAAAAAAACCATTATTCCATTTTTGGGCTGGTGAGATGGCTCAGTGGTCTAAAGCACCTACTTAGAACAAGCTAAGCCAACCAAAGCACAGGGACCGCGGTTCAATCCCCCAGC